ATATATATATATATATATATATATATACACGCGTAACCATATCGACACAAGTACCAATACGGTCTCTCTATATTTGCAGAAAAAACACGGTGTGACAATATACATGTTATATACCAATATCCCCCGGTGAGAGCCAGAAGGGGTCTTGAGTTTATTTTTGCGTGCTGGGGTGTCTTAATTTATACGAATAGAACCAAAGTTTCACATAAGAAATAAAAAACAAGTGCAACCGAACGAAATATAAATTTATATGTAAGTATACGTTATACGTATACCTAGTTAAATTATTTGATGGAAAATCCTGCAGACTCAGTGCAATGTGTTCCGCGAAACGGCAATGAGACGACGACGACAATAGTTGCGCAACGAAGGAGCCATACTTATAATGGGTTGCGCAACAACGCACACCGCAGCGTGAATTATACATCATGTAAGTATAGGTACCTATACCCTATACACGTGTATATATATATTATGTATGTGTGTGTGTGTGTGTGTATTTATAACGCGGCCACTTTGTCGTTGCTTCAACGATTTTCTGTCACAAATACACGGAGGTTAGGTATATTATATACATTTGTAGCGGAGGTTGCACGAAATGACACCGGACGGATACTTGCTTGTGTGGAAAAACAAAAAAAAAAAAAAAAAAAAAAAGGAAAATACTATTTTTCAAGAAGACTTCACTTACTTTTTCCATGATGGGATTCTGCTAGTAGCGCAAATAAAATAACAGAAAGAGTCGGGAACAAAACAAAACACGCGTTAGTAATTTGGCACTTCACTCTCGGACTACTTAATTATGAAATGATGAAAGGTGAGCATAGTGAGTAATAATAATTTCATAAATTTTGGATTTTTCTTCTTTTAGGGAAGATGTTTACTTCAAAACTTTCGTGCAAAGGGGCTCACGTGTCGATAAGGTGAGCTCGTGTGAAAAATAGATATAAGTACTAACACACGTGTGGATGGTGAAACCCACCAAACCTTTCACCAAACTTCGTAGTAACCAGCCATTGTCGCTATCTGTGTCATTAGTTTATCTATAGAATGCACGATACTACCTTATCCACGCGAACACCTATTGCGCAAATTAGTTGCATTTGGGGCAAACAACCTCGTTTATTTTCAAATTCTCCATACAAATTACAATTAAGAGAGTTCCCTCTCGGCTTTTCTCGAAACAAGTGAACAAAAGATTGATAGTTGCTTTTTTTTTTTTTTTTTTTTTTTTCATCGAAGTATCCAAAGCATATACCCATACAAATTGGTTTCATACCTCCTCAAGCGCACTCTTTACTGCGTTTTTGTATACAAACTATAGTTTGCAAGTGATTTTTTATTTTTTTATTTTTACTTCAAAACTAAAAAGACGCTCCGCTAACATCGACGCATTAGCATCAATAATTATTATGTATTATAGTATTGAATTACTACAAGACACAACCCGTCATTCACACTGTACACGTACGAGAACCACTTGCAGCTAAAATGAGTAAGGAAAAAGTCAAAGTAAAAATATATGTTATGTGATTAGAATTTGTCTTCTTGAAGCAGCAACGATATACCGACGTGTTTGAAAGTGACGAAATGACGGGAAAAAACCGTCTACGAGAAACATTAAAGTCGAAACGAACACATTTTATTGATGTACGATCGACTGAAGTCAACGTAAAAGTTTTTCCTACGGATACATATGGGTATAGCTACATTGTATCGAAATAAATAATAGTTGTGTATTTCATACACGTTGACGATTTTTATGGTACGAGACGCCAACAATAATAACGACTTGCTTTTAGGCAAAGCACATTTTCTGAAATATATTCACCCATTGAAATAAATAAAAGGCATCAATGTACTATAGTTATGGAAAAATTGTCTTTTTACGGAGGCTTTCACGAACCAAACGATTGTACGTGCATAATAATCAAATAAACTGTTTGTCAAATTTATGATGGCGCACGCTACGGATCAAAGAGTACAAGATATGAGGGAAATATTGTAATTACCATTGTTAACATAATCGCATGAATTGTATTAAAATAGTTGACCAAAGTATTAATTGCTAAAACAATTAGAGTGCAAAAAAAAAAAAAAAAAAAAAAAAGGAAAACCAATTAATTCGAGCTCAAGCGTGTTTTGTAAGATGAGGTAAATTGTTAAACTATTTTTGAAAGTAAGTATTAAAAAGGCCTGAATGTTTGGAAATGGTTTCATCATCAGTATTACAAGGATACAGTTGTTGGAAATAATATTTTTAAAAAACCTGGATAGGTGTACCTGTCCCTCCACATTCCTTGTCCTTTTGGCACGATACCGAGGGCAGCCAGTGACGTATTTAAGGACTCTAGCGAGGCACTAATTACAGAACAGAATCTGCGTGTGATTATCGATGATATTATCCTAACTCGTGCTCATGCTTTCCTTTACTCCGCACACCCAACTTTCCATTAATTCGAGTATGTTGATTTACTGCAAAACTTTTGTCCCGCAAATACATTTACACCCATCTAAATGGAAGGTTTAGTGACTGTAGACACGTATCATTTACTTTTACTACTTGAACCTAATTATGCGAACCCCACTATGGACGATTGCACTACTATGTTAAATGTACCAATTAAATTTTAATAATGCAATTACATGCGTGTATGTGCTGTATGTATTAAAAAATATCATTGAGAAGTATATTGGACAGTAAATACTATTGCCGGTAACCGCGTAAAATTTACTGCATGAAGTAACAAATTACGAAAATTATCATTGATAAAGTAAAATAATTAGTTGAAAAGTTAATTTGTATCTTCTCGTCGTAAAAATACGTTTTCAGGATGATTATAAATTGAACGAGGAGTATAAATACAATTTTTATCTGTTAACTATATATAAAATTGAATGCTAATATAATGTACAAAATTAAAGCTTGAAAAATATTTTATGTAAATAATATTGTATAATGATGAACGTGTACTGTTTACAAAAAAAATGTTGGGAATACTCTTTCATAAAGGATTTTATGCGTTTTAAAAATAAATTGACCTATGATGATCGCAAGCACTCCCGTCACCAACATACATCATCATTTACTAATACATACTATAATACACAAAATTATTGTTATTTATTGAATAGATGCAAGTCAGTCAGTCAATCAATTGATGTATCAAACGGTACTTACTAAAATTCATATGCGCTTGGGCTGTATTTATTTTCAACTTAAATGTACGTATTCCACCGACTACACAATAGGTACTATGGTACGTGCGAGTAGTACTTCTATATTGTATTTATTGAGTTAGTTTGACAAATACTTCACTGTAAATCCAAGTGTGTTGTTTAATACACTTGGAGCGTGTCAACCGCCGTCACAGAATTTACACGTTTCTAGGCGTTTTATTCCAACACGCCTCAAGTGTGTATTTTCCACACATTTCAAACGTATTACTACAACACGCTTTTAAGAAAATTATTGCTAATTTCTTATTTGCTTCGCAAATCATATGTTTTGGTGCCAAATAAATAATAAAGTTGTATATTGCTTAGAAAAACTAATAAAACAAGCAGATTCAAGTACCACTACTGAAATTATTATTTTCAAAAATTTGCGAATTTAATGTCACTTAAACTGGTCTAGGCTCAAATGATTCCTTTTTTTTTTTTTGTAATAAAACACACCTATATAACGCGCCTATGTGTGTTAAAATACACGCTATATATGTGTACTTATACACACTTAGATTTACAGTGTTGAGTGAGCAAATAGCTATAGCTAGTAAAAAGTAAGTAAATAGAATTTAGAAACGTACCCCACGTGCACGGGTTGCCGATTGATGTCGATGTTGTCCGGTTTTTGGTTGGCTGCATTTATGCGGTTGTAGGACTCTTTCGTTATTATTTCAGTAACTGTGGGCACTAAAGCAGATAATAGCACAGATTTTCGAGTGAGCCGCTTATAGGTACACATGATTTAACTACAAACTTTTGTTTAGCGACGTCCATATCTTACCTCCAGAGTGTCTATTGTCTTTTTCATCGTCAGTGACGTTGACTCTCATCGAGTCGTCCCCCATGGATTTCATATCGTCTTCGGTCATGTATCGGTATTGGTGCTGATCACTAAGCATCGGGTCTTCACCTGCGAATTTCCAATTCCAATTAACAAATGATAAATTTCTTATTTTGTTTAACGTAAAATATTTCTAACAATCTATATCGTGTATGACTTTGCACTTATTACTTTAATGACACATACGCGTGAGATCGTTATGTATACATACGTGTAAGATATTGATTTATGATCCGCCTATTATAACGTGCATTTTATGGTTCTAAGCCAACTAAAATATCCGATGAGTTTATTGCTCTTGTTTCGTTTTTTTTTTTTCATCGTCATCTTTTGCTATGATGAAACGATTAATTAAACGCACACCACAAGTAGTACAGAGGATGCGCCTATTGGGTTACCAAATAAGTCGAAGATTTTCAGGTTAAAAACTATATTTTCATTGTGATCTGACTTCTCGGAAGCTCCCATAATTAGCGTTAATGTCAATACGTCAAAATAGGACATGTGTGTTTTGACAAACGTTTGCTCAATATAACGTCACACGCAAGGATGACAGCATGGGTGCGAAAACTTTGAAGTTTCTCATGTGACATTCTATACGCGCAATGAGAATTTTTAGATGAGCTCAACTGTAGAGCCATTGTGTTCCGATCTGGAGAACGATGAACTTTTTTTTTTTTTTTTTTTTTTTTCAACATTCCTGAGGGATGTAAATGTTCAATATTTCAAAAGATCTGCATTGATCGGTACATGAAAAAATTCTGTTTTTACGCTTATTTTTTAATTATTTCGAATGATGAATGTTACCGCGAGTTCAATATTGATGGCCTTTCAGTTATGTCTCCTTACGTATGCAACAGTGACAATTATTTAAAATTCGTACGTAAAAAGTTCAAACTTATTTAAGTAAATATTCTTAATTATTTATACACAAGTAAATTTCCAAGGGGTCGTTGGAAAATAATAAAATACATTCGCTTAGCAAACGTCGCTGAAATCCGATACAATCGTGGAATACGCAACAACTTGATATTTGCATACAAGTAATGAAGTTGACGATAATGCTTGCGTAGCTGTAAAGAGAAGCGGCTGATTCGTCAAATGAATTAAAAAATGAAAATAAAAACGGGGAAACTGCCTGTACGCGATGAAAAAAAGCATACGGGAAAAGGGGGAGATGAAAGAAACAAAAAGTTATACGTGCAAGAGCTGCAAGTGATGGGCATAACTCGTCACGAACGATGTACTTGGACGTTGCTCACCAACGAGCACTGCATATACGGTAGAGCCCGCACGTATATACATAATATATTCTGACGAAGACACGCGATGATATAAGTTGCGAGCGCGAAAATTGCCGAGTTAGCGTAATAACTATTTATAAAGTATCGGATGCGCGTCGGTACGACGACGAAAAAATATCGTGTTTTCGCAAAGTATCGAGAAAAAAGAAAAAAAGGTCGAGTGTGTATATCGCTCGGGCAGATGTACGTGCATGTAACACACCTCGGGCCGACCTCTGTTACATAGGAATGACACAAGATCTAGAAGGAGGAGGAGGAGGAGGAGGAAGCTCAGGGAGCGGAAAACAACGGCTTTGGGTGCAACGATGAACGAGGATCGAGACGAATGAATCAAATCGTCGGTGGATGGGTATGGTAATGGGTGCCGTATAGCTCGGTGGATCGAGCCTTGAGCTTCCGCGCGTCACGCACCGAAATAGTTTAATGGCCCAGAGTCTTAAAAGTTCGCGCTTGGCCCACATTTGCTCCGCAACACGCGTGCGCACACACGCGAAAACTTTTGCATATGATATACGTGTACAAAAGACGATGTTGATATATTACGCGCTCGAAGGAGAGAAAAAAAAAAAAAGCTCCCCGGCTCTAATTATAAAATCATAAGTGGCCTATTGGTTGCTCCATTGGCGTGTCTGCCACTCGCGCGATGTTTCCAGTTGCGAATCACAAATTTCCTCGTTCGTTTTTCCTTTTTTTTTTTTTTTCTTTTCTTTTTGCACGAGGCACTGGTGCATGTGTCATGATATACAATGGGCGCGGCGTCAACCCCAACGCTGGTACATATGATTGTTCTCGTGCAATGAAGATGGTGAGACATGCAACGACAACATCAGCTGAGGCGTGTGCGAAAAAGCTGCAGCAGGTGCCGCGATTGCGAGGGAAAGAAAAGAGAATACGAGGCCCGCGAACTTGAACTCGGCTGTGTCGGCGTCCCGGTGCACCCAGGTATATTTTTTAATCGCGATGGTGCATATATATATACATATAATTTATATGCGTGCTCTTTCTGATTTGATTTCCCTTTGGCATCGAAGCTCGCTCACATGGAATGTCGCTGTTTCGATTGTGCGCGCACCCACAGCACGCCATTTTCGCGGCCCCGTGCCGATCTTTCTCCGGCTTATCGTAACTGCTCTTCTTCTTCTTCTTCCTCCTCCTCTGCAGGCGATCTTGCATCGTCGTCGGCTCCTCGGACGGCATATGTCTATTGTAGGTATAATGTATGCACCTATATATGCACCTATACAATCGGTACACTGTTTCCGAAAAACCGTCGTTGCCGATCGGCCAATCCTTGCGATCCGCGACACCGTGACCAACTAAGCGACGGCGAAAAGCAGCTTTGCTCGGCTCGGACACATCCGCGGCTTTATAATAGAAACACTCGAGTACATTCCCGCCAATCCCCCGTGTGAAGCTCACCCGCTCTCTCTCTCTCTCTCGATCTATGTTGTATGTATATGTATTAGGCGAGCTTTCCGGGTTGCTGATGGGAGGGGACGACGACGCGGGCGATCTGCCACTGGCTACGCGTCCCATTTATATACATGCGACTATCGCTATACATGATGCGCGTATATGATGGATGGATATATGTGTATATATAATAATATATGTATACCAGCTAGAGCTGATAATGTTGTTGCTGCTGATGTCGCTGGAGCTTACGTACTGCAGATGCTGACGATTTTGGCGAGTCGGGAGCCGCGGACTGCAGTGGAGCTGGTATATACTTATTGTGAAACTTGAACCGCGGGACAAGGCTGGACGGCGCAGATTGAGTAGTCAAGGTAATTGCGCAACTATACAACGTATACGTTTGCGCACGCGTGCGTATACATGTACATGTACGCATATATTCGCTCAGAGTTGTTTCGCTGATATGTTATAGCGCAGGCCGGCACATGTGTTGCATATTACAGGTACGAGCTCGTGTATATAGCAAGCAGACCGGAGTTGCCGTCGCGTATACTATACACAACAATACTTATGCCATCGATTTCGAATAATATAATATCGTCTCTGCTGTCTCGGATGGGCACAGGTGTGTTGTCTCCCTCTCCTTTTGTTACTTAATTATGCGCGACTCGGTCCCTCTCCAGCTTCCGACCGATTGAGCAATAAGTTATACATGCAGGGGTACTAGGAAACTGGACGAATCGAGCGCGTGTAGATCTCCGCACGATTGCCTACGAAATCAATCTACGCGACCTGATGGCTCATTGTTATATGCTTACGTATATGCATATACATCCACGTTGCCATTCCTTCGTGATTATTCCCATTTGATGCTTACGATAAATGAGCCAAGTTGACCCAAGGAAGTTTTTAGGCCTTACTTCGATATAATTGAATACGTAAAATTAATTGGGAATAATACTTTTTTTTTTACATTCAATGATATTTTGCACGTTTGGAACGCAATATCTGTCAGTTTATGGAAATAAGGTAATACCTTGAACTATTTCTTAATAACTTTTCTTTCGATTTAGTTGCTTTTCACCACAATAATATAATCCCAGATTTGAGTGAAACTAAACTTAATATGGATGAAAATAAAGGCTTAAGATAATGATAGGAACCTCCTTGAATTGATGAAACGGTTCATCGTTCGTTTGGATTTTCTCTTTAGTTTGAGAAACAAAAATTTAATACTATTGACGTTATCTCGGTAGGTTGTAAATCAATATACTTCGAGAAAATAAGAAAAATTTAGCGATGGCCGTCACAGTTAAGTAGTGCGTGGCCTTTGAAGAAGGGCGAAATGGAAAAATTGCAAAGATATGAGCGTCCGAGTTGCGCTCCAAGACGACGTAAAATAGTGTTGATGACGGAGAAGGAACGGGGGGTGGGGAAGGAAGACGCCCGAGTACAGAGAAGTCAAGTCAAGTGCAAAGTAATCGTACAGTGTAACTATTCCGATTGTGTATTATCACGTGTACAATATTATTTTTTTATGAAATTTTATGGAAGGCAAAATACATGTATCTCGTCGACATTTTAGCGTGACCCATTTTTCATCACCAGTCACATTTTGTAAAAAAAAAAATAAATGAATAAACAATTTGGATCGAATTAATAAGCTTAAATCAATATAGGTACAGCAAAAACTTGAGAAACGTTATGATTTCATTTTTCGTTTTGACACTTTCATTACAAAGCTCTAAAAATATGTACTTTTCTTTTTTAAGCTCTGGAAAGGCTGATTTAGTCGCATTAGTACTTTCTTATACCCCTATATTTTCCTCAGTGGTAGAGAATTTTTTTTTTTTTTTTTTTAGACTTAAAAATCATCCATTCTAAACATTTTTGAAGCGACGCATTTAATATCACTTAATCATTTGATTGTAGTTGTTTGATTAAAATCAAATGTTGGTTAACAATCGAAAAACATAAACGCACTTGGCAAACGTAAAACATAAAGATTGAATACAAAGTTCTTGATGAAAATTTGGAGAAAACTCGTTTGATTGTCGCTGCTTCGATCGATTTCTTAACTTGATCGGTATTCATAAAATTCAGGAGCATTTATTTGTCAATTAACGAATATTCAATTGATAGCCCGAGCCCCCAAAATAATGATTATTCAATTTCTCAGGCCCGTAAAGCTGACTGATATCAAATTGACGATTTTTCGCCATATTTTGACAAAATATTACACTTGTTTTTCAACGACTATAGTAGAGATTCAATTAAGATCGGTATATATACTCTTCGGGAAGCATGTATATATTTCCAACTTAAAGTACATTCGGCCCCACGAAAATCCTGCACGTACATCCGTATACAATATAATCAACGAGAATATTGTTACCCGCCGATTTGCAGCCCCCCCCCCCTCCACCATCAAAGAGAACAATGGAAGCAGGATGCGAGTATAGCTTCCTTGTGAGCCGGTGCGCGCTTTGATTGTTTGCATAGTGCATCAATTGTATCATTCCTCAAAATAGAAATAAACGATAATAGTCTCGGGTAGGACTTGGTCTTTGCACTACCATGTACCGTGTACAGCAAGTGTGGGCATATAAGTACATGTACCACGTCTGGTGATGGCGGGTCTCGCTGATGCACGAACGTCCCATTATCTCTCGTTTTGCCGTCTTGCGAGAGCGTACGTAGTACATCATCAGGCGTTTTTGCGCGATTACGTAACGCGTACATCAACGATGACGACGATGCTCTTACTTGTATGTATATATATAAGCTCCGCTGGTCTTTGTCGGAGCTTTGTCGGGAATATGATCGGATTCATATACTTGTACAACGAGCGGTTGAACACTTGAATGCTCTCACTTGTTACACTTGCATGGCTCGTCCACATAGGTATATGCATTAATATATGTATACAGTTGCAAGGGTCAGAGGCGAATCGTCGACGCTGCTAGATCACGTTATTTTTCTGTTCGTAATTACCTCCTGTTATTCCGTCACTGCGCTATTATTACCGATGTACTATTTTTCCTTGTTGAGCTTTTTTTTATTTTTTCATTTGGTTGATCGATTTTTTTCAGCTGTACATGCTTGTCAAAAGCAATCCAACGTGTTTACGTCACGTTACAGGTGGTACAGGGAGAGAGAGAGACAGAGAGAGAGGACATTGAAATTACCGGCGTTCGCTGTCATTGGTAAATTCATCGTCGAGTTAGATTAACACGTTTCAACTGTTCCGTCACTTTTCAAGAATTCTCCTCGCTCACCCAATTGCTGGGTGTACATGTATTATATTTAACTTTTTTTTTAACATGCTTTTTCGGATTTTCCATCGCATCTCCGCACAGCGGGGGTATCTTTTTTCATTGTACTACTAGCACTCGATAAAAACAAAAGATGGAAAAGAAAAGACAAAAATTTATTTTTCGACGCTTCCGCTCATCGAGACGATTGTAGCCATCAGCGCTTACATTGACTATTGTACGCGTTAACGTAAGCGTGCAACAAATAGCTGTCGAGTAATGCATTGATTGTTTTTTTTTTTTTTTTTTTTTTTTTTTTTTTTTTACCAACTAACAATCAACGCTTGTATACCTGTATTACATAATATAACATAACAAGAGAGTGAGTTCAAGGAGATGATGCTGGGCGAAAAAGAAAATAAATATATCGATGCGTATGTTGCCGATGAAAGTGCTCACGATTGGATACTTATTGCATACAACAAATGATAAATGTTTTTGGAAGCAACAAAAACTAACGTGATTGCCAATGTGCGTACGGAAGCGCAATGTGAAGTGTAAAAAAAAAGAGAGAGAAAAGAAATCACTGACAGAAAGAAAGAGAGAGAGAGAGAGAGAGAGAGAGAGAACTTACGAGTGTAGGTCATTTGGCCGTGGTTGTAGGAGGGGAGGTACACGTGTTGCGCGTGAGGCGGTTGCCCGTACACATTCATGGCCGCCATGCCGATCTCATCGCCACCTATATATACACAACCGCACGTCACCCCATGAAACATCACTGCCTTTTATCAAAAACTAGCCCCCCAAAAATAATTTTTCTTTTTTCATTTCTCTCCTCATGCCTTTGCTCATTCCATTTTTTTTTTTTTTTTTTTAATCTTTCTTATTTTTACTCTCCGCAACTCGGCTCTCGAGCGTTGTTTGGATTTTCTGTCTCCACTCCACCTGGTTACTAATTTCAATTTTTATTTTATTTTTTTTTCAATCAAAAAAATTTATCGTATAGCCTCGGCTATTGACTCGGATCATTGTTCTGAACGTAGCAACCAAGTGAACCGACTGTCACAAGCGCATGCTCTTTTTTGTCTAAATGTATAATCATATATTACGTAAAGCCAACAACATAAACACATCTCGCCAAAATAAAACCAAGCGCATACGTACACCTGCGGAAATATTATAAATGTGGTAGGGGTGTATACTTATACATAATTATATACTACAAACTTGTATTTGGTTCGCGGTATTAAGATTTCTCGGAATATGAAATTCGGGCTGATGATAATTGGTCATTTAATTTCGGGGAATGATAAATTTCCGCGGATGCAGTACACGAATAAACGTGACTTGATTTAAGGGGATCCACCGGCTTTGAGTTGGAAATAGCTTTGCGTGTTGTGGTTTGATGAATTTTGGATAAAGTATATCTTTTGTAAGAAAAAAAAAAAAAATATATGGGTAAAATTTTTTAAGATATGTGTTTCACACCTTTCCGATCGTAAAATAGATGATAAGGTTTCACTGTTTGGACAATCATTCGAGCCACTGGTGAAACATAAGTGACATTTTTGTATTGGTCTCAAACACTTATTTTATCACTTTCTATTTATATATTTAAAAAAATCCCATACTAAAACAACGTTTGAAAAGATCAAATATTTTCGTACTCGTTCATTATTTTTACGAGTTAAATATTTGAGGCAAAGCAACATCGTGAATCCAAAAAACAACAAACGGTCGGTCCCATCTCGGTGGATCCACCTTCATGGACAGTAAATCGTGTGTCAGTGTTCGATATAAAATAATTATTTGCGTGTGGTAATTAAAATGCTTCAAATGCGTGATATCCAAGTAACAATGATATGTATAGTCTAACAGTAACGTCTAAAAATAATAATGATCATTCGTGCATTTGATTTTACTATCTAAAACTATTGGCGTGTGCTTTATTTCTACGAAAAATAATTACTCGATTCCTCAAATAAAAGCTTAACGTTAACGCCTTACATGCTAAAGTATATAGGTATGTTTGTACATGAGCGAGATTGATCGTATCGTTTTCGGGATTAAAAACAGGTCTGTTCCACATAAAGTAATCTTTCGTGGATTTCCCGTTTTCTTGTACATGTACAAAATGTCGTGGGTATCGGCGTATAGCATCTAAATCCATTTTCCAATGCTATACAACTTTTTAATAACTATACTAATAAATAAAAAGGTATTTGACAACGTGATGATTTTTGCACTCAATTTTGAGCGTGTATCAAAATGACTAAATTTTCAGAAATCTCTGCCACGATGAGAGCACTAAGTATTACCTATTTAATCTAATTTTTATTGGATTAATGAAATATTTGTCATGTACAGTGTACTAAAACTGATCATTTTTTGGCACGATTCCTGCATTAGAGAAGTTCAACGAACTCGTTAAAAAAATTTCGAAAATTTTGTGAACTTTTGATGAGAAAATGCGAGAGAAGTCCTCATGATCATCTCAAAATTTCAAAAGAGAAAAAACAAAAAAAATCTCGTCTGACGAGATTTATACGTCAGGATGATTCCACACTATACCAGCAATGTTTCGCATATAATTTTAAGGTGTCACTTTTGTTCACGATAATAATGAGCTGAAAATGTTGACAAAAACTCGAAAAAAAATGCACAAAATTCGAAAAAGATCAACATACGTCAAATCATCAAAAATACAAATAATTTGATGCTATACGTTTTAGATATAAAGCCGACTTAAATGATAGGGTCCAAAAATATTTTGAATCTCAGTTTATACAAAAACTCTACAAAAACTACCTGTATTGTCGCTGTTACTGTTACTTTATTGAAACATTCTGGACAGTTCGATTGTTTAATATTTTCGAGACATCAAAATAATTGTAATTTTAAATATGAAATATTTCTATTGCTATCGCGCAAATAGAGAAAAAAGAATAAAAATACCGATGATTCTTAAATGTAAAAAATTTATTTTTTTTTATATAACTAAGTAGTTGAATCGATCGACGGACATTTAAAATTATTAAAATGATGAATACTACCAAAGGCATTCCAGAATGATGCCATTGAGTATTTTTATTTTATAAAATACAAACAGATTATTCCAATAATATTTTACTGGTAGACCTATCAAAACGTTATTTTTTTCTATGATTAAATTAGAGAAAATTGTTTTATCCATCGCTTGCAGTAGAAAAAGACTATTGAGTATTTGTTGTGTGGTTGGTAAATTAAACAAATAAACTGTGTCAAGCCAAAGAAACTTAAAAGACGGTGCCATTTTCAGATATAACATGCCTTACTATTTTGATGCGCATTCAATATTGGGAACAGTGTATTTAACAACATATTTATAAAGTCAGATATTAGCAAACAACGAAATTGAATGTATAACGGTAAAAGTGAGAAACCAATAGATGTAACTTACCACCTTCATCTTCGCTGTCGCTCATGAAAGTTTCTTGCATAGATTCCGGAGCTTGGACTTTGTATTTTTCTTCAATAGTTAACGTATGGGTGGTAATTATGACAGTTTCTGTAACAACTTTCAATGTTTCTACTACCGTTATGTATCCAAGTTTCTGAGCGATATCTAGAGCCGTTTGATTACTCTATAATGAACAAAAGAAAGATATAAAAGGCGACGGCAAGAAAAATTGTCAAAAGGGAAAAAAGTGTGCAAGCTTACGTTCGTGAGAGCATTTGGCTGAGCCTCACTCTCTAGAAGTAAATTTATAACTAGCGTGTGGCCCTGTTGAGCCGCTTGATGCAAAGGTGTGTACCCTGCACTGGTGCTGCTGTCGACAGATGCGCCGGAGCTCAGTAGAAATCGAACCATGGCTGCTTGACCGAAATGAGCCGCCACGTGAAGCGGCGTGTAACCAGCCTTAAATAAAAGCATCGCATGGGAGATTACAAACCATCACTTAACTACTTAACGCACATTATGTAAATTCATACTGCTTGTTCAGACAAATAAATAACTGAGCTGGGCCATTGTGATTTTTAATGATTGGGTATGTTATTATCACGATTACATCACGTGTGTATGTTTACCTTTGTTTTTGCATCGACCTGGGCGCCGTTTTTCACAAGAATGGAAGCAACATTGACCCTATCTTCTTGGGCGCACAAGTGGAGAGGCGTGAGACCATTCTAAAGCCAAATTGTAATTTGTTAACAAGAGACATTGGAACGGTATATGCAGGGTTGATGTAAAAAAAAAAAAAAAAAAAAAAAAAGAATGTGTTTGCAAACCTTGGCTTTATGATTGGTGTCAGCTTTGTGCTCTATAAGCAAAGTCGACATGTCTGTGTGGCCTTCTTGAGCGCTCAAATGAAGTGGCGTAAAGCCCGCTTTCGACTCGGCGTTCGCTTTAGCGCCGTATTCCAGTAAAGTTGTGGCTATATCCATCTGTGCGGTAAGAGCAAAGAAAGTAAAATGAATCGGTTAATCGGTTTTATATATAATTCAACGAGTAACCGGTAGTACGTGTAATATGAACTTGCCTGATTTTTGCGGGCAGCAATGTGCAGCGGTGTGTGGCCATTTTTGGCCATGGCGTGAGGCGAGGCACCCTTGTCGAGGAGAAGTAACGCCACGTTCTGATGATCGTAGTGGGACGATACGTAGAGCGGAGTCACTCCATTCTGTAGAAATGAGAATCGAGCATTAATTATGGGCGTTAAATTACCATTCGGTTTACATATATGATTTATCGAGCTATGTAAAATATATATGTGCTGATTGGCACAGTTTTACGGAATTAATCGGAAAGCAATTTGACTCTTTATTGAAATTTATAATCAAAATGTTACTTTTTGTTTATAGTAGAAATCGAGCCTTTTGAAATTTGCGCGACATACCTTGCCCTGAGCGTCAACCGGGGCGTTCTTTTGTAGTAAAAGCCGGGCCACGTTCATGTTGCCGTATTTTGAGGCCAAATGAAGCGGTGTAAAACCTTTTTTCGTGGTTGCCGTGAGGGAGGCCCCGTTCTCGAGAAGGACGGAAGCCACCTGTCGAACACACAATTACGACAGAGATAAGCATAAATCGAAATACATGAAAATGCAAAGTAAGCGAGTCTTACTTCTTCCTGGCCCTCCTTCGCTGCTATGTGCAGAGGCGTGTACAAGTCTTGTGTGGTCGCGTCCACGTCGGCTCCGTGTTGCAGCAGAAGCATGACTATGTCCACGTTGCCCATCCTGCTCGCCACGTGGAGTGGAGTCTGTTCTTCCTACTCGGCAACAAGTTCAACGATAAGTATAAGTAAATACATAACGTTACAGTTGGCTCACGTTATCGGGTAGCCAGTGATGACGTAAAAAAACAAATCAGTTTTTCTCCCCTCGCGTGGCATGATGTAGCAAGTTCCACGCGCGAGGAGGAAAACTGAGAGATACAGAGATGGAGCTTACAGCTTTGACAACCTACCCTAGCTCGAGCATCTACTTGCGCTCCGTTCCTCAAGAGTATCCTAATAATATCAGTCTGATTCGCTCTCGCGGCTAAATGGAGAGGCGTTTCACCTCGTACCGTAGGTATGTCTGGACTAGCTTCGTGTTGCAATAAGTAAATGACGATGTTCATGCAGCCCATGAAACTAGCGACGTGCAGAGGCGTCAAGCCGGACTGAGCAAGGATCATGAATTTACGTTTACAAACAAATTTTTTACGCAAATTGGCAATAATACATATTGAAACATATGGCAATAATTTTATCACGAGTTCTCCTCCATGGTTGAAATTTTGTTTCTTTCTTTCAGGAAGACGAGAGAACTGATGAGGGATTTGAGGAAATGAATCAGTAGGAAAGCGTGTAAATAAATGCTTTTTCGTGTGGGATAATTGTGCGTGTATACATGGCCAAGAGGACGGGGATTGTGGGTATATGGTACGTATTATTCATGATAAGCCAAGTGGTAGACGAACGCACCTCCGTGGTCGCTTCGATGCTGGCCTTGTGCTTCAGGAGTAGCTCGACGACTTTGATTCGATTCTTTTTGCAAGCAATGTGAAGAGGCGTGAAACCGTTCAAAGCCCGGGCATTGGGATCCGCGTTTCTGTCCAAGAGTAATTTGGCCACGCGCACGTGGCCGCAGTGGGCGGCTACGTGCAAGGCTGTGAGGTAGTCCACCGTCACTTCGTCGACCGGGGCTCGGTGGTACAACAAAATTCGGGCTGCGTCCACGTGGTCACCCTGACTGGCCATGTGTAGAGGCGCCAAGCCGTTCTATAGGATTTAATTCAAGCCAATCGGCTCAGCTATAAGCTCAACGCTACGTGGATTTTTCATTCATTCATTCATTCATTTACATTATCTACGGGCTCGCACGTAAACAAATACTACTTTTTTTTTTTTTTTTTTTTTTTTTTACCGTCACCGTTGCGTACTGTAATGTGAATGTCGATCGTCTTGATTTTTACAGTTATTGCACACGTTTACCTAATTAGCCAAAAAACAAACTCGTTTGGCGATACCGCGGGTGCATTATCAAGCAAGCATCGATTCAAGTGGCAAACAGTTGATAATTACAAAATAAACATATAAGTGGAAAAAAAAAAAAAAATAGACAACAAGAGCGACGGCGGTGGGGAAAGAAAATGTACTTTGGTCTTCAAGCCGATCGGAGCTCCCTTCTCAATGAGGATGTCGACGACTTCGTGGTGCCCGGAACGAGCCGCGCAGTGCAGAGGCGTGAGCCCGTCCCTGGTTTTCGCCTCGATGTTCGCCCCCTTGCTTATCAGAAGGTTGACCATTTTAATTTTGCCCCACTTGGCAGCCACGTGCATCGGAGTGATGTTGTGCTACACGGAGGAGAGAGAGCGGCGATTAATTAAATGCATCGATGCATATGCAATAAAAGTAGAAGGGGGGGGGGGGGGGAGTGGTAGAGGGGATTCATTGATCGACGCTCGCCTACTGACCTTGGCGGCAAAGTTCACGTCCGCTCCTTTGTCGTAGAGCAAGGAAGCGACGCGGTCATTGCCGTAGTGGCTCGCTATGTGAAGAGGCGTGAAACCACTTTTCGACGTCACATCGGGATTGTGATTGTTCTGTCGAGAAAAAAAGAAAAAAAAAAAAAAAAACATTTTAACGATTAATTACATCTCGATGAAAATAAAGTGAAAAATCGGGGCACATCCGACACCGTATCAAGTTATACAGTGTCGCATCATCACAGAGGCGAGGGGACAACAGCATCGCGCTCACCGAGCATCAAAATACTTATAGGTATAGGTACCTGTAAAGAAGAAGAAGAAGAAGTAAGGACGTAAAAGGCTCGCTTTCATTCGAGAGCGCGCACTGACGCACCTGTAAAAGTAGAGCGGCAGCCTTGCAGTCGTCTTTTTTCGCGGCTATGTGTAAGGCTGGCAGTCGAAACTTGCCTCTCGTGTCGTTTTCCAGGAGAATCGCGACCACCTTGTCGTGTCCCTGCTGCATGGCAACGGCCAGCGGCGTGAAACCATCCTGCAAACATTTTGCCATGTACACATAGGTTCCTACAATCGATCACTTTGAAGGGTCCTTTTTTTTTTTTCTTTTTTTTTTTTTTTTTNTTTTTTTTTTTTTTTTTTTTTTTTTTTTTTTTTTTTTTTTTTTTTTTTTTTTTCTTTCATTTATTCGTTCGATTTTTTAATCGATCGGTTAACAATGAATCTACACGGGAGATCGGCATGCGACAAATATATACAAAAACAAATGCCATTGAACACGCACCTCCGTGGCGAGAGTTTGATTGGCTCCCTTGCCCAGAAGGAATTTGACGACAGAGTCGTGGTTCTCTTGGGCAGCCATGTACAGTGGGGTGAACCCATTTTGGGATTGTGCGTTAACCGAGGCTCCCCGCTGAACGAGCAGCTGCACGACCTCCTCTTGACCAGCTGTGATTCAGTCGATTAGTGTTTACTATGTTGGTTGACAATTACCTTGAAAGCAGCTTATGTTTGGCCATGAGGATAATTGTAAAGGATGTGGGACTAGAAGGACCGTAACGGGCAAAATTTATGCATTTCAGGAGAACAACATGCACACACTCACCAAGAGATGCAATGTGCAGAGCGGTGTTTCCCTTTTTCGTCGCGGCATCGACAGTCGCTCCGCGCGACAACAGTTCTTTCACTATTTTCAAGTGTCCGTCTTTCGCTGCCAAGTGCAAAGCATTCAGTCCATTCTGCAAACAAGTAAAACAACATTTCAGGTTTCGCTGTTTTTTTTTGTTTTTTTTTTTTTTTTTTGTTTCTTTTAAATGACAGAACATGACTGTGATATAATGATGTGCAGCGATTGGTGGAAGAAAGAATCGCAAACGCCAAAAGTTTAAAAAGCAACAAGTTTTACCGAATTGGAAGTGTTGATGTCAACGCCGGAGTCGAGGTACTCGAGGACCTTTTCGAGGTGTCCTGCCCTTGCGGCTCGCAGGAACGCCGTGCTCGGATCCCCCTGTAACGACAAATACAGATATAAACACTAATTATACTTTTGCATAAAAATAAATCAGTCGGACAACAACAAAATTAATATGTATAAGCTCGCTGTTGGATTAGATGACCAATGTGTGTATGGGTATACGTGAGAGTAAATAAAATATTGTTTAGGTGACAATATTACAGTTTGATATTTTTGTTGCGAGTATAGCTGTATACGCGTGTTTGCCCGAAGAAGGGTCATGTATAAACATAATTATATAGGATACATAATTATAGTATACAGTGATGTGCAAAGTCGAATGAAACGTTCATTATTTGTTGAACGGACCAAGTATTATTTGTTGACCTATACATCGTAGACTTTCCAACCCAAATGTAGTAACTGCATAGGTGGTACGACAGGACGGTGAGTTTGACGTTTCCGCGGCTGACCAGTCGTTCCGAAGTATACTTAATATTATATGCATATACAAGTACTCTCTCGAGAAAAATATACCGCAGAGAGAGAGAGAGAGAGAGCACGTCTGTGTGCATATACATATAGAGTTGCGCTACGATTGCATGACTTGTTTAATAATCAGGCAAACGGAATTTTTCAAGCTAACGGGATCGCATTGTGCTGACTCTAGCATCACAGCGAAAAAACGCTCTGCGAGCATGTATAGATATACGAGTTAAGTACTTGTCATCATATATAGGTAGGTATATATATATACCAATAAACCAGGATGGTGTATACAAAATCTGCCGCGTGTACACACGCACTCATACAACCCAATAGAGGTAAGGTCCGCAAAAATATGTATATTATACCTATACCTCGTCTAAAAATCGTAAATCGCGCTTTAGCACGTAATAACACAACAGCACGCATCTCGTGCGCTATATACATATACATACATATGTACACTGTGCAACGCGATCCGATCGATATAATATATTCGCAGTAGTTATTCCCTCCACCACCGCACCCGCCCCTGTTTTCGCGTCCACCCTCCTTTCCTGCCGCTCGCCCTCTCTTCCGCTCTCTTTGGCTCCTGTTGGATCGTAAAACAGCTCCTGTTCCACCCTACAAAATATATATACACCCTCCACCCTCCGAAATTCGGTTTCCCTTTCCGGCCACATGCCTGTTACATGCGTCATAATAAAATAATGGGCACCGATGCGTCAACCCAATCTACGTACACACGCGTGCTCATTTATAATTTTTTTTTTTTTTTTTTTTTACCTGCCTCCTGCTGCCTATACTGCCGCTTCGTACACGCGTGACAGTTCGGTCGCGGTATAAACTAATGCTCATGTGTATATATGTCTCTTACTTGTATACATATAAACATCACCGAATAGGGGCAATCAAGGGTAGCGCAATAAATTTAATATAAGTATGCGCGACAATTTTTTTTTTTGTTTTTTTGTTTTTTTTTCATAAAAATGAACTTTGGACTCTTTGAAATCAATCTATATTTCTTTTCGCTGAATCTTAAAATGTATGCACTTGTTTTTCCGCATCGCATACATATAATTACACCGACATTACATATGTGAGTAGATGTTATTGTAGCCAGACTTGAAAAATTCGTTGTTGTACATGAGATAAGTGGCGTGAAACTTGAAAACATCGTTTTATTGTAGCGCATATGCATGTAGTGTAGCGGTTGCAGAGATTACATATAGATTAGGCATACTTTAGGTACCCATGAACAATTGTACAAACAGAAACTTAAAATATTTGCTATGCATTACGCAACCGTAGCGCGAAGAGATTATACGTGTATATAAATATACTTTTTTTTTTGTTTTTCAAAACCACCTTCCTTCGCGCTATCGAATAATGCTTTCCTCCCTCGCGTTTAAAAGTATAACATAGTTTTTTCTATGTATACCGATGCGTCATCTCCATCGCCAAGAGAAGCATTATAGGGGCAAGCGATGTACCCGTTTTACCTCATAGTGTCAAAAACTATATATGTTTGGGTACTTTTTATCAGAATTGTTTTCTTTTTTTTTTTTTTTTTTTTTTCCAACAGTCCTCACGTTTGTAAGTACAGTATTCTTTGTCTCATTGACTGCAACATACCTGCAGTAAGCAATAGAGCGTGTAAAACTATGTATGTTCACACGCGAACAAGCATATACTTAGAAGATGTATGAAAGAATCTATTTCGGTGGGTTCGTGTTATTATTAAACAAAAAACAGAGACGGATTATAAATATACAGTGTTTATTATTTCCTACAAGAGAAAGACCAAGCTGGAGAGGGAGAGTCTCAAACCAAACAACAATGACAAAAATAGAAGCAGCATTGTACATATTTATACATGAGACGTATACGTATATTATGGTGATGCACGTATTTTGATGAGTTAAAATTAAAAGTAACCGTGCACGGGAGGGGGTGCATATCGTATACATATAACTCGGAGTACGCTGTACATACATTAAACTACACTTTACATTAACTTTAAAGGTAAAGGATAATAATAATAATAATTTTAAATCCCCGAAATAAAATGGATTTTTTTTTTTTTTTTTTTCATAACACATAAACATTCCGATGGCCATTGATTCTTCTTTCTATAGCGCTTATTGTTTCAACTGATCATTTTTGTAACGTCCTTATGGGCAACAAACGAATATTTTGTAAGGCACCAGCCACAAGGTTAATTTATTCCAAAGTCAGCCCAGAACGAGTCATTATTTTTGCGCGTGCAACGACCTTTCACTGATGGTTGTTATTGCGTTGCTCAACTAATTGTGTACCTATATACATGTATAAGTAGGTACTTTCATCCTCAACTTACATAAATATACCGTTGTTCCTCTGATGATGGTCCCGATGCGGTATCAGAGTGCACGTAACGTACAGGTGCAATGTATATTACACATAGTATATTATGGTGAAAGGATATATCATATTATATTATATCTATAGCTGTACCTATATCCATCGGAAGGGAAAAATGTAGCACTTTTGTCTTTGCGAGATTCCCGCGATGCCAGGTAGTAATAAGTATAAGCGCCGAGGCCGGCTTGTTTGCCCAGCATCCTATATATATATATATATGTACCTAAGAGAGTCTGGGCGCTTAGAAAAGCTCGTGTCTCGCGGCCCTCGGCTCGATCGAGATTCCGAGAGAGCGGCCGGTTACTTAGGTACAAGAGGAGGGTAGGTGTACAAGCTCATCGTCTCTGCAAGTATAATCACCGGAGCTAGAATGAATGGGAGGAGGAGGGAGCGGATCTTAAATATATAATTCGGCGGACGCTCGCGCGGTTAAATAAGTCGCCGGGTGCATGTATATATATATGTATATGAGGTGAGGTGAGACGGAAGCAGCGGGGGATAGGTCGTTGGCTCAAGTGTCGCATACAAGATATTATATCTCTATAGAGAGAGACAGATGTTCGGGCATCGCACCGAAAGCCTCGGAGAATCACGTCTATCATATCCTGTATACAAGTACCTATCTATGATAAAAAGATATTACATCGGCTACGTGCGTGTGTATATATTTATGTAGTAGTTCAATAGGATGTGTGTTGGATCATAATAGGGTTCTTTTTTTTTTTTTTTTTTTTTTTTTTTTTTTTACCAACTAACAATCAACGCTTGTATACCTGTATTACATAATATAACATAACAAGAGAGTGAGTTCAAGGAGATGATGCTGGGCGAAAAAGAAAATAAATATATCGATGCGTATGTTGCCGATGAAAGTGCTCACGATTGGATACTTATTGCATACAACAAATGATAAATGTTTTTGGAAGCAACAAAAACTAACGTGATTGCCAATGTGCGTACGGAAGCGCAATGTGAAGTGTAAAAAAAAAGAGAGAGAAAAGAAATCACTGACAGAAAGAAAGAGAGAGAGAGAGAGAGAGAGAGAGAGAACTTACGAGTGTAGGTCATTTGGCCGTGGTTGTAGGAGGGGAGGTACACGTGTTGCGCGTGAGGCGGTTGCCCGTACACATTCATGGCCGCCATGCCGATCTCATCGCCACCTATATATACACAACCGCACGTCACCCCATGAAACATCACTGCCTTTTATCAAAAACTAGCCCCCCAAAAATAATTTTTCTTTTTTCATTTCTCTCCTCATGCCTTTGCTCATTCCATTTTTTTTTTTTTTTTAATCTTTCTTATTTTTACTCTCCGCAACTCGGCTCTCGAGCGTTGTTTGGATTTTCTGTCTCCACTCCACCTGGTTACTAATTTCAATTTTTATTTTATTTTTTTTTCAATCAAAAAAATTTATCGTATAGCCTCGGCTATTGACTCGGATCATTGTTCTGAACGTAGCAACCAAGTGAACCGACTGTCACAAGCGCATGCTCTTTTTTGTCTAAATGTATAATCATATATTACGTAAAGCCAACAACATAAACACATCTCGCCAAAATAAAACCAAGCGCATACGTACACCTGCGGAAATATTATAAATGTGGTAGGGGTGTATACTTATACATAATTATATACTACAAACTTGTATTTGGTTCGCGGTATTAAGATTTCTCGGAATATGAAATTCGGGCTGATGATAATTGGTCATTTAATTTCGGGGAATGATAAATTTCCGCGGATGCAGTACACGAATAAACGTGACTTGATTTAAGGGGATCCACCGGCTTTGAGTTGGAAATAGCTTTGCGTGTTGTGGTTTGATGAATTTTGGATAAAGTATATCTTTTGTAAGAAAAAAAAAAAAAATATATGGGTAAAATTTTTTAAGATATGTGTTTCACACCTTTCCGATCGTAAAATAGATGATAAGGTTTCACTGTTTGGACAATCATTCGAGCCACTGGTGAANAGTTCGGAGTTTTTTTTTTTTTAATTTTGACGTGTGCTCTCAAAAATGTTGATGAAAATCTTTCGCGCTTTCCCGAAGAAAACTTTTTCGATTTTCAGGAAGTCTTAACTCTCGCCAAAGTTTTTTTTGTGGAATCGATCAAATACGTACGTATACGTGTATGTACATCAGATCTTTACATATCGGTATACAC